TAATGGTCGTATGTGATATCAGCTTGAAGTCATTAAGTCTTACGGGTTTCATCGGCTAGTCCCATCAAACACAGGATTTATATCTTTTTATGGCGTTATTCACCTGAAACTCGCTACTTAAGCTTGTCGGCCGGCTGTTCGAACTTCTACTTACACGAGCACGCCGAAATCATACTCACGCTTGAGACAGGCCGGAAATTCTTCGAAGAAATCAAGTTAGCTCTTTGGCCTCCTTTATAGAATGTTCCAGAAGTTCGACGCCACAGACTTTCCGAACATGCTTGGTGTGTACATGAGGCCGCATGCAGAATACATTAACCAAGTGTGATAACCCCGGCAGAAGCACCATCTCACCGCACTCGAGACTACACAAAGCAGGTTGACGAAGAACGCCAAAGGTTTGTCTCACATTTCCTACTCACTCAAGCTAAAAATGCTCAAAATATACATCAGATGTTATCGGCGTCTAAGAGGCCACCTTATAATGGTTTATCAGATCCTAAAAATGCCTATTACACATACCACCATCTTTTGAAACTCAGCCAAAACGCATTTCTGAGGGGTTATCTGTTTAAGTTGGCCACGCAGTACATCCGACTAGAATGTCGACGAAACAATTTTTCACACCGAGTGTTATAGCCTTGAAACTCCCTCCAAGTGCATGTAATTAATGTTTCCACACTATCAATATTCAAAAATCGACTTACCGACACACTTACACTATTAATCATGACAATCAGTTGACAGGATTAGTGCAAAGCAAACACTAGACGTTATAAGACTATCCATTGGAATCCAAGGAGAAATACACATCTCTGTGCTACTCCAACCCTCTTCCATCAACACTGTGACTTTATCTTGTATTTTTCACCCTAACCATCCCACGGGACCCACTAAACATTCACTATTTGACCCGTTATAAATCACTGCACTTTCCACGGCAGGATATGCATTTGATCGATGAACAAATGCACTCGCCTGTTGCACGCTCTGAGATATTCACTGAGTGTCACAAAATGGTTAAGGTTCCGTAATCTCTAATGAAATAAGGATAAGTCGCGTACAGTGACCATCGATCATAGTCAGGTGCGCCAATTACCGGACCCGTTACTAGTTGAAACACATAGTGAGATAAATGGACTGTTGTGGTTAAGCAGGTTGCAGACTTCTACCAAGACAACAGCTTCAGCACGTTCACCAAACCTATGACTACAGTTCTTGTTAATGGTGTGCAATCTATCTTCAGTCCATGACTCTCAGACTGTACCTTTGTCTTATTAGTAGCAATCGTGATACCATTTTACTATCCTGTAAGGCTTATGGCTATTCTGTCATGTGAAATCCTATTTTATCTCAAGCACCAGTTTGAACTAAACTGACTTTTGTCGATTCAGTATTGTTCCGTACTTCGCCGCACCTGTAAAACCGAACTGACTATATGTAGGAGACAATGACTGATTAGACATCCATAGATTAAAGATGACTACATTCGGTTTTCAGGGAATGGTCAAGATAACTAGCCCAGATTTGAACTATACCTATCAACACTGAAGTGATATAATAATAGGAATAAGAAAGTGTATTCTTATGGTGTTCCGATGGAAAACAGGTTGAAAATTCAATCGAAGTAAGCAGAGAGCCTACGGCCTACTCACAGGTACCGTCTGGTATGAGAATAACCACATCTAGGCCTAGTTAGGCTGCATTCACTACATCCACGTTCCTCATATCATCTGCCAGCGTACACCGCAAATGTGCACCGGAACGTGTTACAGACTACAAACTAGAATTCAGGGAGCTCGGCGCAGTGGACTGTCCAGACTATATACACATAAAAATGTGTTAGATAGCTGATGGCTTACCTGCCTTAAAAGCCACACTGGCACACGGCCAGATGGGACATGGGAAGTGCAGCTGAAACCCATCGAGGGAATAACCCGCCTGAAAGCAGGTTCACAGGAAATGATTCAATGAATTACTTATGAGTAGAAGGATTTTTAGCGAGTATTTTTGTTCGTCGCAGTCAGCTGACAATTTAGATAAGACTTATCTGAATTGTCAGCTGACTGCGACGAACAAAAGGATTCAATGAATGGTCGTATTACTTCACTTATATAGTTAGATTTATCTTCACTTATTGTATTTTGACAACCTCCCAATCTTTCCGAAAGATTTAACCGATCAATTAGTCCTACCCGCTAAAAATCGGAGACCTGCTTCGGAATATTGGAAAATACAGCATAAGCTCTTTGCGATTCCGCTGTACATCGTGCATCGTAACATACCGCTGGACAGTATCTCTCACCGACGAGGAATATACCGTGGTTTTTTATTTGCCACAACTTAATATTGCTCATTCAAGAGCATAGTAGTACTTGTACATACATGATCTGTGCCAAATATGGACACAGCTTCTCACTTAAAGAGAAATATACCTATTATTAGTAGTAGTACTACTTCCATTTAAAGATGGTTGATGCTAAGCCTTTTCGGATTTTCTGGCCCATAGGGAACAGTCCTTGCAGTGCCTTTTAGTGTTGAAGACAAGCTTCGGTTCTAAAAACCACTTTTCAGACGGGTTGGCAGAATAGAAATGAATCAATATCTGGCATGCCGTTACCAGATTGCTACAAAGCCATGGATAGCACCCAGTAAATGCTCCGAACATCTTTAATCATTTCCATGTGAAATGAGGTTCAAGGGTATGACATCACTGACCATTCGACGTTATGGATCTCTATTGAAGCGAGGCAGCATCTGCGTTGTGGTTAATAAGCTCTGATGGTATATTCGACGCTGGGGAGCAAATCGTCATAGAATAATCACTGGAAATTAGACCAGCACGGACTCTTGAACGCCTTTTTCAAGAGTCTCTAGTGTTTTGGGACCAGCAATACCCAATTTCTAGCTACTTCAGTCACGGTCCAAGTGACTGGATTGATCAAAGTTCGTTTACATGCAAACCAAGGTCCACAATGAGATTGCGCGTCGCAATCCAACCACTCATCTAGTATTGTAAAATGACTCACCATTCGTGTAATATCTTTGGAACTGATGGAGAAGTCACTGGCTCAGAGAAGTTTGGGAACAATCGGTTAGCGATTTTTTGGGCAACATTTCACTTTTGACACAGAAACATAGCCAAACCAAGTGGATCAATATTCAATTACATGCATTTCATACTGAACAAGGAGAATAATCGCGATAGCAGATACATGAGGTAAATGAGTATTGGGGTCACAGGTCGAGATGCCCTCTCAAACGGTTGGACCAGAGTGGGAATATCCAAGATGTTCTCTTATGCGCCATATCAATGACAGATAAGCCCATAGTGGTAACGATGGGTAGTCCACTTGATCTTTCCAACTTGATCTGCACATCGACGCTCGTCAGACTGAGCGGATTAGGATCGTTGGATACACACATGAGAGTCCTACCCCTGGCCTGTCTCGTCAATTGTTGGTTCACAACAAGCAATTATGGTTACAGGAATGATAAAGGCAACCGTAGGCTGGTGAAGACACAACAAAGATTGGGACGGTGCGAACAGATTTAGCAACGGTTTTAAAAGGGAGGTGTCCCTCTCTGTTCTCTCTAAGGAAGATATCGCCTACAATAACCTCAGTAGGAAACTTTTCACCACTGTAGCTAAGACCTACCCGATCCCCACCCGCAGGTTCTTGCGGAGACCACACCATATAGCACAGGGTTTTAAAGACAGACTGCCAGTTACGTTCGAATCGTACAGCAACTTGGACATACGACCAGACGTCAGTGCGGATGGCTGAGTACTGCCAATGGTCACTGTGGAGAGGCATGCTCAGAAGCATCAACAATTCCATCTTGGAACATTTGGTTCAAAGTGGATGCAACTTATAATCAAAGATGCCTTTAAGTTTTCCTACGCCGTACGGAAGCGATAACCGAAAGGTCTGAGTAAACGTCTCTGGCAGACAGCTGAAGTGATTGCTATCAGGTTAACACAACTAGGGCTATGCAAACATAGGGTGCCTATACAATCCTTGACTTTGCCATGGTCCTGACCAGAAGCCATTCCCTCGGAGCATTACGGAAAACCATTTTTAAGTTTATTTCTCTATTTGGTATTTCTACCTCTCATGTTAACCCAAGTTGTTGCATTGCGCAAGTTTGCTAGTCCGGTCGCTGGGAGCGTCACTTGATTAGATCCATTTTGGCAGTGAAAGAATGTGTTAAATTTGTTCATACCCTCTCAATCTTTCTCAGCCTACTGTTGTCTTTATCATTCCCGTAATTTTAATTGCCTGAGATGAACTATCGAAAAGCGATCTCTTTGCAACCCTGAACTACCCTGTGATTTTGCTTTTCCATGAGTATTGTCTACCAATTATAAGTTTCCATTACCTTGGATCGATCAGAATTGAAAACTCCACACGGTCGTACTAGAATACCTCGTGGTAAAGAAATCCAGTGATCACTTACCATCCCTTAATAAATGTGGTGAAGAGAAAAATCACTGGGAAGGATCCTGGCACCGAGCCGTGTGAGATGCCAAATTTTATTTGTACAAAGTCAAAAATCGATCCCAAAGTCTTCCCTTTAGAAGATGTTCATTGCGAATAATATTAAAAGTGATAGCAAGTGGCCATTATAGCCATATACTGAAATCTAGAGCGAAATAGATCAAGCGCCTCCGAAAAGACAAGGTTAGTTGGACCGAGTCCCAAACCCCCGCCATTTGTTGCGGTCTTGCTGTTCCGCAGGTCGACGGAACTCGCACTGCTTTAGTGCGACGATCCCGCGGTTTCCTGGGTAATCCACCAAGGTATCCGCACTGAGAACCCATAGTCTTAAGAAGCATTGGAAGATGCGTAATTAGGCTGCAGTTTGCAAAATCACCGCAATTTCCTTTGTACATCTAATGCACCACCACTTTTGTTTGGACGGTTTCCCACATATTCGATACATTTCGTTATTATGGTAAATAAGGCAACACCACAATAGTAGGAAACATGAGACCATACGTCAGACCATTTTATTGGTGCGTACACTCCAAATGAGTTGAAAAAATAATGTGGAACCCGACTGCAATTCGCAGTCGTACGCTATCATTTGATGCGCCCTCGTTGAAGCGATAAGATCAACCCAGGTCCCAAATGCATCCAAAGTGTCATAAAATTTTGTCAGCACCAATTAAACTTCTGCGTTTCCAGTTCGAATAAGATTCTCGACGAACACGATGCGCCTGACTCTCGCTGCAATGGGGTGACTGAAATGAGAAAAGGAGTAGAGCGAATTGAGTACCAACTTCACAGGCTACTAAAATGTTTGATAGTAGGGCATAAAATTAGATTTAGTGAAGTTTTGCCGACGGTGCGTGTGACACACAAAGCTGCAATTAGTCAGTCTAGGTTTCCGATGGGCAGTGCGAGCACACATACTGATGACATTTGCATAGACATGATGCTGCATGAAAGGCAGAAAAAAGATTGATAACTCAGTAAAAATGAAATATCAAAAAGGAAATGAAAGCTGATAGTTCGTCTATCGAGGAGCTTGGATGACTTTGCCCTCTTAACTAGCTTCGATAGAGTTTTGGTGGACTCTCTAGGTTAGGTCAGTTTCGTTCAATGTCGGAGAAAAGCCGGAGTTCTGTCAACCTCAGTGCACCAGGACAACCAATGTACTAACCTGCCGATAGTTTCAAGAGATAGTCACCAGAACATGAATTATATTGCCGCCCCTAGTGAGAGCAAGTCGGTGGTAACCTATCCGCGTGATTCAGAGTTTGTAGCAAAGTACTTCTTCATGGGGCAGTCTGGACAAGAATTTTTTGTGCCGCACGAAAGAAGCTAGTCTCTTAGCACAGTAGGTCACGTGGCTCAATTCGGCAAGGTAGTTTGAGCGCACATAGAAATGGAAGCGGACCACCTCACCTCGGTTAGCGATGCGTGGGTCACGACAGTGACATTGATTTTTGTAACGCAACGTTGTTGGACAATTCGTATCTGTGGTCATAAGGTTCGGGTCCTCCGGTGGAGGTGGAGGCGCAGGAGGACAGAACAGGCTGTCAGCTGTTTGGGTATGAGGAATACGAGAAAGCGCAGAATTAGATGTTGCCTACAGTGCACTGTCATCGCCCTATCCAAGCCCTCCTTCGCTGGTACATATAAGATTGAGGGCAGACGGGAAAAGGATACAGAGTGAACAATAGCAGCTGTTTCTTTACAAATCACAAAGCGCGAATACGTAAATCGATTGAAACAACAAACGCATTCACGCTCCGAATAGCATTCAGTTACGACTGCGCCCAGTATTTAAATGTATAGGTCATTTATTATCCCGCTTCTTCATATATCAGAAAACTAGGTCCTAAGCCGCAACTACCACAGTAAAGATAGACACATTTAGCATAGAAATCAAAGGAACGTTGGAAGTCTTTCCTATAGGGCACTCAGAGTAAACAGGTGGTAATCCCGAACCAAGTACGAAAATTGAACTAGCGGATATTATTCATCTGCTTATTGCTGCCGGCATCTGTTTTCAAAATTGTCCTCCACAGCGACAGTCTGTCCTTGCTTATAGAGGAACAATGGAGCCTGCGCCAACCCCCCTAAGCACCATCGACACAGCCGTCCAATCCCCATGTGGATCTGAAGGAACAAAGCCATGTAACTTGTAGGTGAAAGTCGAATTTAATCTGTAGCCGGTTCAAGCTTCTTTATCATGCATAATAATGATGCAAAACTGCATGAAAACACGTCCCTCGATCTCTCGGTCGCCGACTCACTTCTTGTTGGGATATTTGAGGCGTAGTAGAACTGCAAAAATGCCGTATCCAATCTAACAAGCAGCGATGAGCGACTTCGCCACCATAGAATGTATCGTCACTCTGACGCAGTCAGATGAGACGCATCACTCGCTGCCAGACATCCAGCGCACTTCAGTCATGCAAGAATACACCGTTTGAAAAACCATCCATATAATGTGTTCGTTTAGCTACGAAACCGGCATCTTTTATGCCTATGAGCAATAAACGTTAATATAATGCAACTTCCCATCACTAAGGAATTCAACTCAAAAGGGAAAGGTAATGAAAATCCTCTAATGTTGACTGAAATTAATGCCTAGTATGCCGTACGACTCTTCACTAAGGATATAATTAGGGAAAACAGAAATACTGCCTTTCCAAGGAACAAAATCAACCGCATTCAAATGACTATGAATAAGATTAAACTGGATTTCAGAATATCATCCTCTTATTCCACGTCTAGGAAGCAGAAAACCTTATTGGTGTTTGTCAGAGCAGAAAACAGTAGTAGAATCTATCCATGCTTCATCAGTGGGTATGATATTACCCGATTGCCCGGGCCGAAGAAGAGAGTGGTCTTAGAGGGCCCTATCCAGAGACTTAGCTCCAGGATCTAACGTACAAGGCAGCACGGCGATATAAGGGTAACGCGACCCGTTGGGAGCCGGTGAGTAAACAAGTGGTTCTTACGCCTTTAAGACCGAAAATGACCAGGAGCCCAACACATTCTTGAAATACAATGTCGCCCAGAGAGAGGCAAGGGGCAGTGACTTTATTTAGGGATGAATCACATCCGCCACGTCACAGCGTCGTTTGTCAAAGATACAGTGGTGAAAGACGGTTCATGTCTTTCAACACACAGGCGAAGCCAGCCGTAGGATAATTTCCACGGTTATTGAGACTATAGTGGCTGTACATTTGTAGAGGCAACAAAAAGCTGGTAGACGTTACGTTATGATACCGATCTAACAAGTTGATATTCAGAGCTGAATTTTATGTTGCCCAAAAGGCGGATCGATTGAAGCATGAATAGGAAACGTTACAGTGCACGGAAGTCATGGTGCATTTACGGTTAGAAGCAGACACTGGATTAAAAATTCAGTATGAAATGATAAAGAACACCGAACGTTTTAGGATGTGCTTCGAATGTTTGAAGAGCAAAATGTTTACAAAACAATGTGAAAGTACCAACTACCCTCAGTGACGTCGAGGGGACACTGCAATGTACGTAAGTAACTGTATCGCCCAGACAAGCAAAGCATTGAAGATGTTACTGAATCCCTAGGTAAAGCTCAGGCCCTTTCCATAACCCTGTCATCAACCGAGAGCGTTTAGTCGCGACCCATTTGTTGCCATATGGATAGGTTGTAGTTCCATGTGCCGAGGAAATTAAGGAATCGATAATCGGTGCACGTGCGACATAGCTCGTAGCTCTAGGGGCTATCGATTGAGCACCATTTTGGCTTTGAGTAAGGTATATGTATCCTAGGCTGCGAACATTTAATCCGACGACTAGGTTCATCTCTACTGGAAATTCTGAGGTAGAGATGGAAACAGGAAATGAAACCCAAGAAGCATGGATTACCTGCAAACGCAACCTGTTAAAAGCGTGCACCGTGTGGCGAGAGAAAGACCAAATACTCCTGTGCTTCATTTATAGACAAGATGATGGGTCCGACCGAAGTATACGAAAAACGAAGGAGAACTCAAATTCAGTAGAGGTGCTGCGACATATCCACTTCATTAGTTGGACGCAGACCCCATGCACAATGCCCTTCAAACGACCTACTGTCAACTGGATACGTTAAAGCAGAGTAAGACGTTCGGACCATACGACTTTCTTCGTCATGTTTAGTGGACGGTGGAGACTCAAGCATTATTAGTCTAATACCAAATTCAAAGCTAAAGAGACAGTAAAGATGCAGCTTTAACTAACCCATTATTAGCCAACACAAGGATCTCTGCAATGGGTCAAAAAAGCAAACACGAGCCAGCAAAGATTCGGCGACATTGCCATTGTTTCTAACTTGACTACATGTGTTAAACTGAATATGGCTTACTGATCCTCGTAAGGTCCGTACCCATGGAAGATAAGATAGTTTCTGTTCCGTGAGCAGGAGGTATCATCACATCACAATACATTTCTTCAAATGCAGTAACAATGGCAGGTATTGATATGACTCACCATATTGGTGACTGAGAAACCGCTTTTGGCTCAGCAGAATGCACCAATTTGTAACAAGCATGATTTGTCCCAATCTGAGTCTTTCAATGTGCTAAGGTCTGTGTGAAAATATTATTTGTGTTATAGCGGAGGTAAGGATACTCCACCACTCCCCGTTGTTTTGTGAGTTTTATTCCACTCACCCCTATTCACCGGGTTCTCTTTTACGGTTCCCCACATAAGTTTTCAGTTACCTCTCTTTCGTGACTAGCTTTGGTTGACACTGAATCTTATGCTTAATGGCTTTTCTCTTGCTCTATACATTTCGCTCATTCGTGAGACACCGTATTGATCCTTCGCCACTGGAGTGACTAGCTTTGATTGAGCGATTGTCAGCCTTTCTGTATAGCCTGTGATATGCCCTAATTTGAATCATGTGATTAAGTTGCACACACAGACGCTTAGTGGTGCGGCGTGAACATTCCTTGTTGCCAGGTCGTTGGAGTTCTCGCTACCGTTAGTGGGTGAAATCCGTCGTGGAGCTTCGACACCACAATTTGCGCTTTCTATGAGAAATTACGGGCATCAGAAACCATTATACTTCATTATTTCCTGCAAATCCGTAATCGAAACGCAGATGGCGGCATCAATTTTATTTGATTGCTTAGTTTCCAAAGTTTCTCCAGTTGACAGTTCAAAAAACGTGGAGTTATCGGACGTCATAGTGATGTTTGTGTCGTACTCGGGATCGTTGAAATGCATGCATGTCAGAAGTGCGCTCAGTACTACTAAATGAGGTCGTATACCACCGACTTCCACCACTATCGAACAGAATTGAGGAATCTGTTCATACATCTCCTATTTTTGTTCATCGCAGTCAGCCGACAACTCTGATAAGTCCACTACCTATCCGGAAAAGCACCAGACGGCCGTTTCGCCCTATTGGGGCTCATCATTGTTAGCTAAATGCGATATAGCCCGACCCATCCTCCACTGCCATGTAGGCACCTGCCTTGCAGATGACAACGGGTGGCCTTCCGGCGTCAGGACTTCCCGGTTACGGCAGCTGCCTGCATGGCAGTGAAGGATGGGTCGGGCTACATTGCAGTTAGATAACAAATCGCAATGGTCGGATACCGTCCTCCATGGCGCAGTTGCATAAGCAGCGGGCTAGATGGCACATGCCACTAGCAGTCATGGGTTCGATCCTCCGCAGATGACCGAAGGATGCGCACCACTGACGAGCCCCAACAGGGCGAAAGGGCCGTCTGGTGCTTTTCCGGATAGGTAGTGGATTTATCTAGTTGTCGGCTGACTGCGACGAACAAAAATACTCGCGAAAATCCTTCTACTCATAAGTAACATCTCTTATTTATAGTGTTTAAGTCACCAAAGACGTCATCCTGGGAATCCTTGAGGTAAATGCAGTTGTTCAGGGTGGCATTCTTCGATGAAGATATTAGGATAGCTTATCGCTCTAGAACAGGAAGTGGAACGTCCTAGGGCCACACAGTACTAGTACCATGCCTGCATTGCTAAGTGTAACCCACTTAGAACGGAAACAAAAACACGGCGTGAGGACGAGTTGTCATGAAAATGGACATGCCTGAGCGAAGAGAGTACAACAAAAAGCAATACGTCAGTCAACCAATCACGTAGAAGAACATAAGCAACGGTTGGCCAAACCATGCAGCTGTGAACCACTGTCATGCGTGAGTCATTCTAACATGTGCATGTGAAGAAATAACATGGCCACATTGCATTAGATAGATTGAAACTGCCTATCACCACCATGTACTGCTCAGATCCCACGTGATCACTGAATGAGTAATACAATAGCCTGCTGTTTAGTAACAGACCCCGTGACGCAAATTGTCTTTCGCACCCAACCTCCATGTCAGCTAAAAGCACTTTCCACAAAATACCGTGGAATGTCTCCTCGGCCAGCACATCTCATTATCGATACTTCGTTGGATAGATACTGAAATGTCTAAACGACAACATTAAGTATGAAATGGATTGCTGAGAGTCGGCCTGACTGATGCTTAGCAATTTCTGGAAATCGGTATCGAACTCAATCATGTTGACAACTGAGGAGCATATTCAACATGGTGCCGTCATGGAAGCAGCAGAACGCATGCACTACAGTTGTATACCCGTTTATGAACTGTTTTTGTCTAATTTTTCTCTCCACTTTTCGTGACAGCGTTCATGATCCTTTTATGGTGAGACTTATTGCGACCAGATCCATCGCACTCCTGTGACTGGGTTGCATTACATAACTGAACTAAAACGATATAAGGCGTGGTTGAGATCATCAGTTACAGCAACACAAGATTTGGTGCCTATTGCTCACACACAATAAAACAATGGTTTATGACAGGGAAAAAAGCACAGACTTTACTTGCCGCATAGATTCGTAGTGGAAGCAATTGCAAATTCGATTACTACATCAGTGGGCCAAATAAAATGTGCATCGGTGAATCCATCGAGCTATGGTATAAAAATAATAGTGTTGTTGTGGTGAGATGGTGCCATGCGAAACAGATTAACGTGAGGCCTTGTACCGTTGTTAAGTGAAGTGTAAGCTTTCTACCTCCCTCGAGCATCTTTTATATTTTCACACTTTCAAGGCATCAGTCGATGAGCTGGCGCCCGTTAATGTGACAGAAAGAGAAGAACACTGGTTTGAGAGTACTTGCGCAGCGCAAGCACCTGTGCACAAGGCGATTTTGTTTGTCAACGGTGATCACCCAAATAGATATCATGTTGTCCTAATGGTCACACCAATTTCATCGATCAATCACGATCAGTAGACACTGGTGCATGATACAATACGCCATTTTATACTCCAATTACTTTCCACTGCAGATGGAAGAGAAACCGATCCTACCAATTGTAAATTCATGCAATCAACAAAGGAAAGTACCTTCAGCATTGCAGGCGAAAAATGCTTCTCGGCTACGCCACTGCACAATGAAAAGGAAAGTTGGACGGCGGAGCCCCATAAAGTGGCCGGTCTGCGTGGTGCCCGCAATAACGTGACCTCCATGACGCATGATCAGAGGTACCAATTGGTTCATGTATTTGGTGAATACGGCGGAATTCTTTGGCTCATAAATATCCAGTTGGATGAATCGGTAGCCTGAAAAAAGCAACCGGTAACAAAGATGTCAGAATGAATGAAATTTTAATTAGGATATGGGCATATCTATGTAGCCTGCATTAATCTACCCAGGTGTGGCACATGTTAAGTAGGATGTCTCCTCATTGCCATCAAAACAACAAAAACCGGCAAATCTATGATGATATCGTGTGGTCGAAGGTAGCACAATAAATGTAAGGACCGGGAGTACAAATGTAAAATCAAAAGCAATGAGAGCTTTTTCAATCATTTCTACGTATCGTCGGTGCAGCAAATTGGTATTCCCACAACCATAGGAGCATTTGACCTCAATCCCTATAAACCAACTTTCCAAACTAGCTTCCCGATCCTTCGTGTAATAACGCGTCAAGCTCTCCCGCGCACTTCCCTATAAACAAATGTGTATTAATATTCCCTGCAAGTACCGTTCGCCTTATTTCTACATGTCATCCACCACCTCCCCCTTACATCTCGTTCCGCACCGATTATGGTTATTCGACAGCCTACTTTTTTCACGTTAGTGGTTTTTTTACCCATTTGCTGAATACACGATACAGATTGGCTTCATTCCGCCTCAAGAGTTACAAAACACACGCTCTCTTAGTCTATTCACCAAATCCCATCGCTGTGGACTAAGTTGAGTCACTTTGTGCCCTAGTCACTCTGAAGCTTATCTTGTCTGGTCGCTGGCGGAATTACTTACCCTTCTAGCTTGTTTGAGTTAGAAGTGCCATTGGTGTAACGTCAGCAAACTGTGACTCACATGCTGATTTGATCTCAGTGGAACCATGTAATTAAAGCTTGCTAAGCCAGCTTCGTCCCTGAAAGTTTCTAATAATAGCACCTCCATCTCAACGAAACTAGAACACTTCAGTCTGAGTAGCAACAAGCTAGCCCTGTCGGCGATTGTGCCACGGAACACCCGATGCCTGGGAACATATGCGGTTAGTGTGCAAATTAGAACCAGCAAAGATGAAAGAGCGGTTCCCGATCTGTCTTAGTGTATGTATCTAACATCGCTAACCGTCAAGTGGTCGCGTAGTCCCACAAAAGCTTGAAAGATGCGCATATGCCACAGGGTGTGAACGTAAATGATTGTTATGCATTCGTTCAGAATACGTGACCGCGGGTTTCCACAATTCCTCGATTGATTTCAGCCTTAACGCAATCTGTTTAAGCTTTTACTCATCAGCTTTTTTCCGTAATGCAGAAAATTTAATCAACTACCCATCCAAATTTAATACAGGTCGCACTGAGGGGTCAGCCTTGGACCTCGCATGAGAGACCTTACGTATATGTGCGTACGTGTGAAATGTGTGAGCGATGCAAAAATTTCGGGGTCCTTACGCCCAATAACCTGACCGGGACAACGTGATAGCCAAACGGCGGACATCACACGCGCTTGGCATACGGGGGCATAAGTTTAGTTCCGAAGCGTCGAGGTAATTTCTCGCGTCTGACTTATAAATGAAAACGTCCATGCGGTTCCGATAGTCCGTCTCTAGTCAGCGGAGTTGCCACTTCTGCTTTTCCCAGGTTGGTTGCACTGGAACCGCACGGGTAAGGCGAAAAAAAGCTTCCTCATAGTTCACCTACCAAATTTGTCTTTACTTTGATTTATGTAGTTTTTGAACTTTTAGATCACATTACGCGCGATGGGAAGAAGAGGAAAGTACGCCCGTCAACCGTCTGATGTAAAGGCTCTTATCCTCAAAACATATGAAGTGGGCAACGACGGGAAGGGCATTGCATTTCTGTTACAGGTAAATGTGCAGATATGTAGAAGCTGGATTAGAATTGAATGAGCCGACAAAAGATCGTAGCGTGTCGTGTCGAAAGTGTCTATCAGACAGTGACGTGGATTGCTTGATGAAATGGGTGGAATCGGAACCTACGGTTACCTTGGGAACGCTTCGGTTATGACTGAAGGTGGAGTTTTAGGTGGATGTGAGCGTCAGCACAATCGCTCGCTACCTAGACGGTCGCCTCATGAAAATGAATAAATTACCTGCAATACAGGACAGCATGAATACGATGGATATCAAAAGGCTAAGGAAGGCGTACGTGTTGAAGTTGGAGGCAGAAGGACGGCGAGCGGTATGGATAGGTTAGACGAACTTTGTTCCGCGCTCGCACAAGAGAACGTTCAGCACGAGACACCCGTACGCACTGTGCGGGGCCGAACACTTGGGGACAAAATCAGCACCTGCTCAGCTCGATAAATGAGGAAGGATTGCTCGGATATTCTGTCCTAAGAGGCAGTTACAATAAAGAAAGGTGTATGCGTTGGTTGCGGCTACTGCTTGACACCAATGGCATCCATCTCGCCGAAAACTGTCTCCTTATTTGTGTTAATGCACCCTGTCACACTGATCTGAATCGTACCTTCCAAGAGGAGCCTTACAGCTCAGGAAGACTTCTACGACTGGCACGGTATTCTCCGCAACTGAACCCGCCAGAAAGCATTTGGAGTATCAGTAAGGCCTACGTTAAACAAACCATGAGGAGGCGATCTTCCGAAATGCTCCGAGGGGATCCGGATGGCGTACTGAGCAAGACTGAATGGAGGATGCAGTTCTTGGAGCAGGTTGTGACAGAAGTACGTGCCTGCGTGACGCTGCACAACTGTCAACAAATGGTGCAGCATGTACGAAATAACTATGCAAGTGATTGCACCTACTCGATTTGTAACCCGTTCTACATCACTGCTATATTTGTTTGTTTACAAAATTGGCGTCGCGGCGTGCGAAACTACGCCACTGGATTACATCCTCCTACTGTTTACTGGTCTGATCTGACCTTACGTCCTACCGAAAGTGCATGGGCCTAGTAAAAAACATAGTTTAAAAACTATCTCGACCTACCGCCTGCGGCTGCTAACTACACAGAAGGCCAGAAACTGAAAATTCTCAAACACCTACTCGATGATGGGGGACAACGTCAATTTGATGCTTTGAATCTCCAGTCTCAAGCTACCTACCGACCGAAGGCTTTACGGGCAGCAGCCAGTGATGTGTCGGAACCTCTGGCTATATTCTATCAGTGCTGTATGGATGAGAACTATATTCCAACAATATGGAATCGTGGGGTAATCACTCCTATTCATAAGGAAGATAGTCGCACTGACCCAACCAATTACCGTCCTATAACGCTCCTCTCTGTGCTTTCCAAGGTTATGAAGTCTATCATCCCTGACGCGCTGATGCAGTATCTGGAAAATCACAAGATGATAGTACCAGAGCAACATGGCTTCCGACAAAAGCGCTCATGCACTACAAACTTGTTAATTGCACGCAACAGCTGGACTGAAGCAGTTGATGGTTGAGCAGGAGTTGATGTCATTCATCTGGACTTCTCAAAAGCATTTGATCACTTAGCCCACAGAATTCTCCTCCATAAACTTCAGCTCTATGATGTTGGTGACCCAATGCTGCGTTGCACATTTAATTTACTGTATGAACGTCGGTTGGAAGCGAAAGTACGAGAATCCTTGTCGGACGCAATTGAGGTGAACTGCGGCGTACCACAAGGCTCGTTGCTCGGGCCCCGTCTATTCTTGATTTTCATAAAGGATCTGGCAATCGAAATTACTTCCGATTTCCTATTCATCGCGGGTGATATCAAGTAATGGGGAGCGACCAGAGAACCGAACGACCACAAAAAGCTCCAGCGCGACCTCAACACGGTTTTGAGCTGGTCCGTACAGAATACAACAGCGTTCAATGTGGAAAAATGTCACGCTGTTCAATTGCACCATAGACATGACTACGTGTATAGGCTTGGGTCACATGTATTGCAAACCACTTCCCAAGAACGCGACCTTGGTGTGCTCATTCAAAGTGATCTTAACTGTTCAAAACAGTCAGAGGCAGCTGCGAAGAGAGCCAACCAGCACGTCGGCTTGCTGCGGAGAGCATTCGGAAGATTTGACCCATCCATCTTCCCCATGCTGCACAATTCTTACGTGCACCTTCACGTTGAATACGCCATCCAAGCTTGGCAACCTTGGTTGAAGCGCGACTTAGAAGTACTAGAGAAACCCCAACGCAGGGCCACAAAAAACGTCAAGGGCCTACGAAATCTGTCCTACCATCAAAGACTGAAGTCACTGGGAGTTTTCAGTGGCCGCTACCGAAGGTTGCGTGACGAGCTCATATTAGTCTACTAAATATTGAGTGACCTTAATCACGTATGCCGTCACTTGCTGAAACTCAGCCATAGCACCATTCTTAGAGGTAGCCATCTGAAATTGTGTGCACAGTTTAGTCCGCCTGAAATGCCGGCGGAATAATTGTTCTCTTCGGGTTTGTCAACCCTGGAACTCTCGCCCAAACTTCGTTGTTTCCTCCTCCGTATTGGATATTTTCAAAAAACGATTGGACCTTAGCTTTGGTCCCCATCACTTTATTGCCTAAACTTTGCAACTTTGCAGTATATTAATTATCTCTCTAAACCGGAGTAACATGTTAGGCAAACCTGAGGATGCGGGACAGAAGTGAACATACTTGTTTTAATTTTCACATATAATACATCAACTATAACTGTCCCCATGTTACCAGGCCGTTCACATACAATTCCCATATATACTATTATTGTTCAGCAGCGTAACTGCTAGATAAACGTTCAAACAGGCAACTCATCTATTGTTTGCTAATTGTAGTTTTACTCCCACCACCCTGCGGGACTTGTCAAGCAATTGCTATTTTACCCGACATAAATCATCGTTCATTGTTCATATTTACTTGCTTCCTTATTGGTTCAGCCTTCTATGTACTTCATAATGTACTCACGTAGTTAGATACGTTTCAGGTTACAGTTGTTTCTATTCCGGACGGACCTTCTCCCTTCGTTTCGTGTAGATGACTTTTCGTACACAACAGTATGACTTCAATCAATTCCCCTGAGGAAATTTGCGCGACATTCCATAAGTTTGAGTCGGTAGGTGTGAGGAATGATCCAAGTGATCTTAGCAAACTCGTGTAATTCCATACTTTTCCTGAGAGGTCACTGCTGCTTACACCTCTGTAAGTATCATCATGTGACGATATATTACCAGTTCACAATATTCTTATTTTCCGATTTCATTTAAACAAGTATGTTGCCGTTTCTGAAAGAAAGTTCTCTAACGCAGTGACGGAAGAAAAACTATGACATGCAACCAGAACTTAAATGGCTTTTACGTGCTCTAGTAATTATTAACATAGACGTCATCATCAGTTGATAGCCTGGAAGCAAACTAACGCAATAACATTATAATCGGGGAGTAAGGATTTACGAATCCTGAAGACCAGTATGGTTTAACTAGACACGCTGTCTAAGCCCAAAAAGACGGCACAACACATAGGATAATTTGAAACACTGAGTTCACTTCAGCCACTACATTAACACAGTAAAGAGACATAGGTTGCTATATGTTAATATTACCATTGCTCTCGTTAGTCGCTACGCAACACAGGCAGAACAAAGCACGCTTTAAAATAGGGTCCACACTTAGCAACATAGCTAATCAGATAAAACTGATGGGAATGACGTAATCAGGTCCAAGACAATCTGGTTGATTGCGTCAATTGTTTCTGGGCACAGAGCACGAGACAATTCAACCCTATCAGTAGCGCCTCGCCAATTGCCAACAATGTCGGGTTTCTGTTGTGCACTAGCACCTTGAACGAATCGATTGGGTTCACCTGGTGACGAGTCGTCATGAGGTGTTTGGTGATGGACGACGCAGGGTTCCGGTTCATTGTTTGATCCGCTCCGCCTTGGTTAACCAGCAACTGCCTTAGACACAATGGGAAGTGGTGGATGATGTTAGAGGCCGAACTGATTGACGAGCTACTCGGACGGCTGTGCAGAGGAACCCTTCGTGTAGTGTGGATAAGCCGTAGTTGGGCGGTAGAGTAGGTGCTCGTTAGAGCGAACCTGAGCTTGTGACCAACTTCATTTGCCATGTAATCCCCCTTGAACGGTAAGAAGAAATACACATCCTTCTCCGCTGTTTGTAGTGACAGTTTCTCCTTGGGGGTCTGCTATGGGTCTGAATGAATTTCTCCGGATACCCATTGGCCAGCAAAGTCCGGTATAAAAACTCCTCTTCAGCCTTGAGCAATTCCGCACTGCAAATCCGCCTGGTCCTGTAAAAGAGAGCTTTACGAGGCCGCGCTTGCATTCAACTGGGACGAAGCTGGAAATATGTAGGTATTGTCCCCCCAGGCCACTTTTCTGTACACCGTGCGCTGCAGGGTGCCATCGGTCCTTTTCTTGATGAGCACATCAAGCAACGGCAGTGTGTCCTCTAGTTCCCTCTCCTGTGATACAGAAAGGTTAGGGAGTGTTGAGTTTAGGAGGGCAGCAAGACGATTAAAATGTTCACCATTAGTGAAGACGAGAATATCATCTACGTAACGCTTGTGAAGCTTGGCTTCACTTATGTAGGCGGCAACTTTCCTTTCAATCATACCCAAGAAGAAATCTTCCAGAACTGCTCCCAAAAGACTACCCAAGGCGACAACGTCGTTCTGTTTCTTAGCCGTCCCTTCAAACTTGAATGGCACATTCTCAGTGCATAATAATATCACGTCTCTTAGGTATTCCACAAGAAGTCCCACCGAGAAATTCCGACTAAAAAGATATTGGCATAAGTCGTCGACCGTTTCACATAGGGGCACATTTCGTGAAAGTGATTCCATGTCTATGGAATACATGAGCTCTGCGTCGTGTTGAGTGTTCCAGTACGTACACCAATTCAAAAGGGTCTTTCAAACAATGCGTGCTCAGGAGCGTAAGCACGGGTTCTAAGAGCTTTGCCAACCACCGGGCTACTTTGTGGTAAGGTGAGTTATTCATGCACACTACTGCGCGTAGTGGAATTCCCGCCTTGTATAACTTCGGCGCACCCCTAATCCTTGGTGTTTCCGTCCGTCGGTTTTAACTGTCGATATTGTGACTCGGAGATATAACCATGAAGCAAAAGACTCTGTACATGTCTTGTAATTTGTTTCTCCACCAATATATTGTTGTCCAGCGTCTTGTCAATACGAAACTTGCGTCCATCTCCGAGAATCGACTTCATTTTTGAGGTGTAATCAGCTTCGTTCATTATTACCACACTCGTGCCTTTATCCGGTTGCAAGAAAAGTACGTCATTCATGTTGTGCACTGAGAATGTGCGATTCCAGTTTGAAGGGACGGCATACAAACAGAATGACGGCGTCGCTATGGGTAATACTTTGGGACCAGTTCTGGTAGATAACTTCTTGGATATGATTGAAAGGAAAGTTGCCGCCTACATAAGTGAAGCCAAGCTTCACAAGCGTTACGTAGATGATATTCTCGTCTTCACTAATGGTGAACATTTTAATCGTCTTGCTGCCCTCCTAAACTCAACACTCCCTAACCTTTCTGTATCACAGGAGAGGGAACTAGAGGACAGACTGCCGTTGCTTGATGTGCTCATCAAGAAAAGGACCGATGGCACCCTGCAGCGCACGGTGTACAGAAAAGTGGCCTGGGGGGACAATACCTACATATTTCCAGCTTCGTCCCAGTTGAATGCAAGCGCGACCTCGTAAAAACTCTCTTTTACAGGACCAGGCGGATTTGCAGTGCGGAATTGCTCAAGGCTGAAGAGGAGTTTTTATACCGGACTTTGCTGGCCAATGGGTATCCGGAGAAATTCATTCAGACCCATAGCAGACCCCCAAGGAGAAACTGTCACTACAATCGTTCGTTCGCACAAAAGAAACCCGACATTGTTGGCAATTGGCGAGGCGCTACTGATAGGGTTGAATTGTCTCGTGCTCTGTGCCCAGAAACAATTGACGCAATCAATTAGATTGTCTTGGACCTGATTACGTCATTCCCATCAGTTTTATCTGATTAGCTATGTTGCTAAGTGTGGACCCTATTTAATGCTTGCTTTGTTCTGCCTGTGTTGCGTAGCGACTAACGAGAGCAATGGAAATGTTAACATATAGCAACATATGTCTCCTTATTGCGTTAATGAAATCGGATGATTGAAATCGATCGTAGTCCAAAGAGACGTTGCGGGATGGTGCCAAATGTCAGTTCGACCAGATGTCACGAATACTGCACCCGGTTAGATTATGTTCAGTAAGCAAACATTAGCAAGGCGCAGAGGTAACGCAATAATCACGGACTTACCGGGCCAAGATTGAGCCGGACTGCACAAAGGTACTATAAACAAATCGTGTCCACCGTAGTGATGGGGTTCACGCAGTTCAGGTTTGGAATCTATGCATTTTGAGGCCTCGTCCACATGATCGAACAGCAGAAGTCCAATATTCTGATTTTTGGGAAAAACACCTTCCACGCAACAAATTTCCTTTGGACAAAATAATCGTTGGAGGAGGCGAATTGCGATGTCAGTGAGAAGCAGAATACTAATTCTTACTTCAATAGTAGCAAAGCGAAAACGCAAAAGGAAGCACATCGTTATGAGATAAGGTGAACCAGCGGGACTTTGGTGATCCTTAAGGCCACAGGCTGGCAGGGTAGAGGTAATGGTTTTGGCCGTTGACTCTGAATCACAGAGTATGATTTATGGAGTTCAACCAATGGGGAAGCCAGATGCAAATGACAGTTAATACGAACTTTTTCCGCAAAAATACGCTAGACCATAAAGCTCTGTTTCGACCCGGCGTATATATTACCAACTGACTAAGGAGTAGATGTGATATCACGGAAGTCAAAGGAAAGCACACTATTAGCCAACAGGAAAGGAAATATTTTTATTTGTTTTTCACACGCCATTTTCCCGTTCGTTATGATTTTGTGTCTGCAGAATTAAACGTGAATCCATACAATTCTGTATAGAGTTCTTTAAGTACTGATTGCAAGCTGTACTCCCAGGCATGGGGAGATATTAGCACTCCTCCTCATCGGGTACCGAGCCATGTAAATATGCATGTCCGACGGCTACTAAACATGACGTTAACGATTTTGTAAGCTATCACTAATTAAAAGAATGATAGCCACGTAGTCGCTTCGATCCCAATCCTGCATGAAGGAGTAGGACACTGCATACTAAACGCTCGCGTGCCAGGTGCGCGACGTGACCTAACCATCTCGATTGGCGTAGCAAAACCAGGCTGTTGAAGGAAGTAATCACGTTCCACATGGAGCGATATTTTACTTCAGTATTGCTAACTCGGTGTTGCGTCAGACCAGAGCGATCATCCTCAAACAACCGCTGTAGTTGACTCAAAACCGGGGCATGTCCTCCACGCAAATCGGTCGGGACTCACTCCTACTGTCCGGGAGAAGGTAAGGATTTCCCGTAAATACCTATTATTCTAGCGATTAATCGCTTTTCACCCATCATGGCATCAAAGTGGAACTTGATAGAACATTCCAAAGTTTGCACGTGGCCGCCAACTTCCTGAAAATTGGCGGGATTGGTATGGCATTATAGATTTTCCCAGCTTACCTTCTTATTGTTCAAAGCGAAGGTCAATAAGTGAGAGATAAATACAAACAAGGTCCGCTTCACTCGATTAATGTTCTGAAGGCGGTTAACCTGCTATTTTTCAAGAACATTCGCATTCTGGTTTTTCTTTCGGTTGGGGCTAGAGCTTTTGTGGTAAGGTAAGGTGATGATTTCGGAATCGTAACAAGTAGGAAGAATATAAGCACCACTGAACTCTTCGAGAACGGGAGCGGAAGAGGAACATCCCGACGACGTCACAAGTGCCTCGGATTCGCAACTACTGATTGTGACTTAGCGCTGAGGAGAGAAGCCTCCTTTCCGATAGTGTCACTAGTAGAAACCCAACTTCATCGAAAAAGTTATTTATCTATTCGAACTGTAAACCTACTAGAATGAGCTAAGGAACAGACGTGTGGCAGACCTGGAGTAACACTAGACACTTGGAAGGAGTGAAGCCTGTAACACATCTGGATGTTTCAACAGCCACATGGTTGAAAAATAAGTTTCCCACTCTGTGGATCATTACGGGTTAAGGTAATATAATCAACCTAATCGAGGTCTTGGCATGAAAGAGCTCTTGCGTTTAGCTGATCTGGTTTGTTACATTTAGTGATCCGACAAAACGCAGGGTCATCCTCGAATGTCATCCTGCGATTTAATATGAACGCAATCTTGGGAAACTTTCCATTGTCCGGTAACGTGCTTAAACTGTACTATATTCTACGTTAATGTGGACCAAGTTTGAGTTATTAAGCTTCCGTTTGTGGCTTATACATTTCGAGAAAGGCTCGTCGTGTGTGTAGGCAGGATTCTCGGGTAAAATCCCATTCCACGTCCTTTGGAGAAATCCGCCGCTCTATTATACGAATTGTAAAGGAAGCTTAATGAACTAGTACTGATTCGTCCCAGTAGCTAACAAGTCAGATAATCCAACCGTTAGTACAGGAAAATACCAGACGGCTGTTTCGCCTTGATGGGACCTGTCTGTGGTGCGTACTTTTCGGTGCCATCAGGAACCAAACAAATATCCATTAGACACTTACTCCCATAGCCGGTGGCCCATGCCGCTGGGCCGGGTGAGAAATCAGATCACCCAAAATTACAAAGTGTAGGTTACAAGTTGGTTGCGCACAAGTGACGGGTCCCAATAACGTGAAACTGCCGTCTGGTGCTTTCCGGGCTGGTGGTCAATATTTCATCACCCTGTAGACTCTGTTACTGTGTCAGTGTGGAGTAGTGGTTTGTTCCGCTTAGAAATAACACGTTTATTTCTCACTTTCAGAAATGAAAGGATGACAAGCACTATCTTGACAAATCACGATTTTGATTACTTCCTCGAAGGATAGTTGAAACTCCAAGCCCGTTTTGACCAATTCATCAAGGTAATGCAAAGTAGCAAGTCGTGATAGGTTAGCGTTTTCATTGCCTTCATCTATCACAAATGCAATACAAAGTGAAAGCGTGAGTATTCGGATACCCTAGTGTCCTAGTGGAACAGATAAGCTTGCAGAGTGGTTCATGCCTATTGCGCAATCGGTACTAAGGTGATGCGATTTCTTGCTTTCGATTTTTAGTGCAAAAATATTAAACTATTCATCCGGATCATTGGCGCCGCACTAATTGCCAAATTGCTCGAGTTTTGCTATACACTAACGCTTTGTATGCATGCACCTATTCGAACTGATGACGAGTCGTCCAAGGGTGATTGGCGATGGATGACACGGGATATCAGTCCACTTTTTGATCTGTTCCAACCTGTTAGATCAGCAACAGCCTAAGCCAATGCAAATGGTGGTCATTAGGCTTTGGAGCAAGTTGAAGGACAGTGTTGCCTCGCGCATTAGTAAGTGCTCTAGTAGGATTTGTTCCCATATGGATTCGGTCCAAGAAATCATTGTTATTCCACAACAGAGACCGGAAACTGCTGATAAGTATTGAGGCGTTAAGGGGTAAGAATGTATCGTCCGGAGTTGCACGCACCGAAAAAGTGAGGTAACCAGTTGGATTGCTTAGTCCTGATTGTGCAATGCACACTAAGCATTAAACAAGTCAATCTGTCTTGTGATGGTTCTAGTATATGGTTGTATAGGTGCATTACATTCGCGAATTATAAGGGTAATCAAAATGCTGACAAATCGCAAGTTATATCTTTGACGGACAATATAATCCATACGAACATCAACTCAACTAGGAGATGAAAGATAAATTTTCCAACATTTCAGTGGTTAGCCGAAGCTGGAGACTGAATCCGGGATAAGTGATTGACCGAGGAATCTCTGAATAGTAACCCACTGAGTAATGCCTTAGATACAGCGTTTAGGGGAACAAAACCCAAGTGATCTACTCGATACATCACCTAGCAATTGCTTGGGATAGTTCGACAGGTATACTCCGTACATTGGTATCTTCAGAGGACTGAGGCGTAAGTGTAGACGACATAGGCGAAAGTTCTAACAATATCCCAACTGCAATCAAGGCTATCCTTGGGAACTCGCAACAACAGAACCTGTAGATGTATTCGGCTGCTCCCAACATGCAAGATTGCATGGACAATCAACTCACTTTGGCCAAACCCAAGAATTCCCCATTACCATATGCTCGTAAAATGGGGTTGTTTGCAATGAAGGTATTTCGGAACTTGCCAAATGCCACTTGATCCAGGTTGTAATAGATAAGTACAATACATTGACAGGTGTTTCGTTTGAGATTCTGTAAGGAAGCACAGTGAAGACGATCAATGCGTAACAAGTCGATCAAGATCAGCGACAACAATACACAGACACAGTGAACCGGTAATTAGCTATCATGCATCCGTTATGAATGAAGCCGCTGGTTATAAGGAGTATGAAAAAGTAAGAGTTGGACCGCATCCAGAACCTGAGTGCATTAAGTATATGTTCAAGCTCAACGTGCCTACATCGCACGAACACCCCGTCGCAAACATGTGACGGTTTACAGATACAATGTGACATCAGTGAGACAACTATGGTGCGCTTTCACCAAGGCGTTATCAGGAATTTTTATAGCTAATTTTCCTAACAATTTGCAGTAGAATAGTATGTTACCATTGAGATTCACTACGATCAGTTAAATGTGGATTTTCAGTAATGTTCAGGTCAGCTGCATACACGCTGATCATTGTACGCATAATCAATTTTAGGTCAGAACTTGAAAAGTCTGGTTATTCAATTTTCAAAGTAGAAAATATCAGTAAGAATGAATACCAAATGACGTCTGCTGTGTAGATGAACTATAAAGCAGTAGAGGACCTCAAGCGATGCCTAGACAAAGACTGACTAGCCTTGTTCCCTGATAATCTGTGGGAGATATTAGCAGTTTCTAACCAAGCCATAGGAGCTTATGTAACTTCAGAAAAAGTTGTTGTTGTTTTGCTCATCCTCGGTCTTTCGTCAGTACAGACGCAAGAATCCACTATCAAGTCGAAGTGCTAAGGGCTCTGTATTACCTGAGCATCATCCTCATCAACAGCAGTATATTAAACACTTGAATTGATGCTTCGCTGCCATACAACCACGGTGCACTAAGGAACGGAAAATAATAACAGGTAGAGAACAAAGGCCTAGAATAATACCTTAATGCACTAAACAAGTATTCAGGATTAAGGCGCCTAAAGGTTGTCACAACGTACTGTCACAAACAGATGACAATACTGCAAAGAGAAGGTGGCTTAAGCGAAACAGCTTCCTTACGGCTTTCACTGCCCAGCGGCATAATCTCGTCGTAAAAGAGACTGGCACGAACAGTTGATCACAGGAATCCAAGCAACTAATGATGACTAAGCCTTGTAGCTGAGACCAATTCCCACTGCAGCTTGTTCAGTGGTTACCACAACGTGTCTCCAGATGCGTGCAACCAATTGCGAGAGGGCAAAGCTAGCGCAGTTAATTCAACAGCCCTGTGAGGACTATTGACCCCAGTTCCGGACATAAATGGTTAGTGGCACCCGGTTCCTGATTTGCCTGTCACTGTTTCCTCCATAGGACAGACACAGGACCCCTGCGCTTACAGAGAGACCATGGGTGGCATGCGTTGCACCACCCACAGCTCCATCCACACACCCCATATCCAGTGTAAACCCGAAGGAATAAGACCGGGAGGAATGTGGATAGGAGTCGTTTCATCAAAGGAACCGGCCCACCCTTTTTCACAGACAACCGCAAGCACGTTGTATTTAGGCATCGATCGCAAACCAGGCGGTGGCTGGACCGTAGTTCGCTCCACGCTGAGTGCATAAAACCACTCTCTGAGCTCAGTGTGGCCTCGAGGACCGTGTACCTCGTCCCACCGGCTACGACCGACTGTCTCCTGGAGTCAGTATAGACGAGGTAGTCGGTAATAGACTGGTAGGCGCCTCGTTAACATGCACATCAAGCGCAGCCACACCGGGGATGTCAAGCAACGGCCAATCACTTGAAATAGCAAATCAAGTGTTATTTTACATTGTCGGACATACAACACACGCCAATACCAAGTGTGTCCAACGCTTGTGCTAATGCAGCCTGTTAAGCTTTTTATCTTAGAGTGCGAACGTTGAACGCCACCAGGGAAAATGGACTGTGTAACCTGTTTCCGATAGGCAACCATTGGGCGATGTGGGAAGATAGCTGCAGATGGTAGAACTGCAGTAACATCACAGCTTCTGCCAATTAAGCTGGGGAATTATAGAAGGAAGGTCAGTAATGGGGGTTAGGATGGTGGAGCTGTACGCCGTCGGGCGCGTCGCCAGGTCGCGGATCGAGGAATCCCTTCCTTGTGGAGGTAACTGTGTATAAGTCTCGTTTACCTTGCAGGCGAGACGAAGCAGCAGTCGCGGACCATCAGCGGCAGCGTCTCAGAGCGTGGGGAGTTCTGGGCTAGTCACTCGCTTCTCCATCAAATACCACAAGAGCTCGTACGGCGCTGAGTCGAAGCCAATGTGACCGGCTATAGGGTCACTGACCACTCACTTCTGTAGCCAGAAGTGAACACCTAACGGAGGGTGGATGAACAACTTTGTTGGCAACCGGCTTCTCTGTGGACTGCTACTAAACACAAAGAAGGCGAATGAGCTACCCAGATGTTAACGGTCTCCGTTAATCTTCCCGCTGCCCTGCGGGTCAGGTTTTTATGACCAAAGGCTCACGGTGGGTTCCCTTAATATAACCTTCTTTCTCGGCCTGTGCAACCAGGAAGATCTCTGCCCGCACAACACATTAATCTTGTACACCTTCCAAACCCCTTCACTGTCTACCTGTTTTCCCTTTTTGTTGTTGTTGTTAACTATGAGTTGTGGCACTGCCAAGTGTATATCGGTCAGAAGTTGAATAGTAATAATAGTTGGGATGGGCGTAAGTGAAACATGTGGGAAAGAAAGAAGTGATAGGCCAGTAGTGGCAGCAGTTAAGGCGACCCTTAAGATGAAGGATGAAGAAATAGTCATTTCCTACGTGGGCTGAGATATTGCCAAGGCACCCAGACTTAGACAGGAGGACGATTAGAGCCCCCATCCAAAGCCTTTGACTCAAAAGTCTGTCCACAAGTTGGCACTGATTTAGTTTTACAAACATTGACGTCATCCCATTTTATGTTCACTTTCAAGTGGGACTGGTACAGTAGTAAGATCCCGTGAATGGTCCACCTTCAAAAACGTCCTTGAGTCAACAAGGAGTGCAGCGGATTGATTTACCGAAGCAACACACATGATTCGCATGGTCAACTAAACAAAGCCCATGTACCCTGCGCTAACAGTCCTCGCTGTGCCGGTCACCATTATAAAAAAACAAAAGGAAATAAGAGGAAAGACAAGGTTATCAAATTACATAAGTAATACTGAGATGTGAGTGCAAATGAATCAGAGTGGAGTAGGACTTAATGGACGAGGAAAAGCTTAAGACAGATTCTGATTCATATGGGACTGGAACGATAGGAAAATCTCTTGAGTCTTCCTTCTTGAGCGGATCGTTGAGCCAGGAAACCATAAGGTGCTAGGAGGTCTTAATGGATCTAAAACGAAACACCCGAACCACACCTTGGTTAACCACTTACTGCCCACGTTCTCTGCACTAGCAGTCCTCGTTTTGTAGATTACGTCAAGTAAGGAAGACGTAGAAAGAAAACGGAAGATAACGAGGAAGGAAAGTCCTTTAAATGAAGGATAACACCAAAGCGTGAGGAGAACGACAGAACGTGAACTCAGAGTTGGAAAATGTATGGTCAGGAGAAGGGAAAGGTTTCTCGTTGCCACCCAAGAGCTTCTAACTGACGCTCGAAACCCATGACCGTAGGTTAATGGACTACACTTTCTGAAAGCGAGTTCCAGCGCTCTATAACTCTACACGATAACCGAATTTCCGCCCTGATCCGGCGGTGGGCGGCTTGTGTAGCTTCATGGGATGATCACAAAGTCAAGGAAACCTAGCCGGGCTAAATAGTCAGCTCAAGTCCGGTCCAAACTTCGCCGTTAAAATGCGGTAAGTAAGGATTCAATTTCCTCGAAGCCCTTGGTAGTGCATTGAATACATACCAAAGCTAGGTAGACGCTCGGGGCGCGATGCCCCTTGTAACCCCTCGACCAATTTGGTACCTACTCTCAGAACCCTATCGAGCTCCATTTTGTCCCGAACAAGGCAGGGCGGCAACTCTGGACGTAGCATTCCAGATAAGGCCGAACGAAAACTGAGAACAGCTTCACAATTATGCTGGTAATTAGGACTCCGAAAGAATGTAGTATTAACCACAACATTCTGAAACCCCTACTTGCTGCTTTCTTCCAGTTGTCACCAGAATGCAAAGACGAGGAATAGACGACGCCTAGGTCAACCTGGTTGGAGACAATGGGGAGTTCAACCCCACGGAGCATGTACACCGAAGGTAGAAAGTTGCTCCTATACGAAGGACGGAACATATGGCCTGATTAATTGGCAGTAGCCACAAAGTAGACCAGTCCCAGAGTCTGTTAGAGCATGCTGAATGGCCTCAAAACCCCCAAGGACATTTAAAACATTCCATAGCTTAAGCAAACAATAGCGATGATACCCCAAGCTTCCCAAGGAGATCGTTTACCTACATGGCATGGAGGAGAAGAGTTTAAAGCGCAGTCTGATGGCGTCAAGTTGATGTTTAAAGTCTTTCACCGTCGGTGCCTTTACAACTTCTGCAGGCAGCGCGTTCCAATAAACTAGGACCCTACGCGTTAACGGAAAGGCAACCCCAACCAGCTGAGCTAGAGATTTGTGTAACTTTAATGGGTGGCCACGAACGGTTGGCACTCGAGTTGGGCGGAACAGCCGAGTTAAATCAGGACCAATCTGACCTATTAATAGGTGATATGTGAGGACCAACTCGCCCCGATGTCGAGTGTAACGCGTGGAAAACATATGCAACTTACGTAGGCTTTCAGGGTACGTCAGCTTCTTTAACTCATGCACCATTTTCGTGCCAGACCGCAGGATCTGTGTAAGTACTATCCTGTCACGAACGAGATATGAATATAAACCTATACACAATATTTCAAGTGCGGCCTTACAATAGCCGAGAACCAACTAACGAACGTTCCAGTCGTCATGATCCTGAAAGATCTGCGGATCATCCAGAACATGCCGAAACCTTTGCGAGCAGTTGCCATGCAATATTCACTGGACTTAAAGTCTGGTGACAGCATGACTTCTAGGTCAACTTGGGGTTGCAACCGCGACACTTTGTTGCCACGAAGCAAATAACGTGTCGGTGGATCATTTGGTCCTACTTGTAGGACTGCACATATCACGAGATTCATGGGCTATTGCCACAAAAGGGACCAGTCCCAAAGACTATCCGGAGCCCTTGGTAGAGTCAATGGACCACTTGGATCGTTTATTGTGAACCAGAATTTTAAGTCATCTGCAAGCACTAGGGATGGCATTTGAAGCTCATCAGGCAAGTTGTTAGCCTATAGAGTGAAGTGAAGGGGCCAAGGACTGAACCTCGCGAGACCCCACTGGGAACACATTGTCGAAAGGACAAGCCGGAACCCAACAGAACACTCATCTTCCGTCCGAGTAGAAAAGCTGAAATCCATGGTAAGACAAGTCCAGAAATATCACAGGACCCTCAACCTGGAGCACCAGGAGACTGAGTTTGTGTGACCTCTAACAATTGACCAATCCTACAGCAGTAGCTTATAAAGAGCCCGAGGGCCCAACCCAGTGTAGCTCAATGGGCCCACAAGGTACGCAAACCGTGGCACCATGTTATAGTCTAGTTGCTTTGCGACGGTTTGTTTCGCTTACTGACATGCAAAACGAGACGCTCTTTAAGCAAAACCTTGTTTCGTCTCTGGATACCAAGCTGATTTGTTCTGAACTAGTCAAAATAAGAGGTACTAGCGAAGTAATATAATAACATTCGCAAGCATCGCAACCATTTCTGTTGGTTAAACGTTGAGTTAGCAGTTTCACTTTCTGCGCAAAGTAGCCTATGCTGAAGTCGGTTACCATCTCTGGGATAGGACACCTTATAGTGGATCAATGAAAATAAACGGACATGTCATAAGTGGTAACCGATCACAAATCGATCATCGCTGTACCCTTAGCTCGCTGGTAGTTCCGCGGCAGCGAAGCTTCGCTACTGCATACCGGCGTACTGCTGACACCTTTCATTTATAAAGTGAACCAACACACTACTCTCCAATCTAAGGCTTCGGAATGGTGGTAAAGCAATGTTATCCTGGAACACAAACTTCAGGCTTAGAAACATGACGTGAAAATGCGGTCGATAGAGCACCAAAGGCGGATAACGTGTTTTGCAGGGTTGTGAATCGAGATGTAAGCAACTAGAAAGAATTTATGCCGGCGATAGTGAATAATCATGCATGTTACTTAAAAGGGATAGAATTAATGCTCACCAGGTATCTCAAGCCAAGCGTAGATTCCCACTGTGGACATAATGCAGGATGTTCTTCTGAGGTTGCACAGTGATAAACTATATGGCATAAAACATTAACATACCTTCCATGATCGTAGTAAAGGTTAGACAACAAAGGGCTGGGTTAGATTCTGACGGAGTATTAGAAATTGGCCGAGGGTTCAAATGGTACGTCGATCGATAGTGGATCAATGTTGAATGGTGGCTAATATTCCTGAGACTGGGCCCCACATTACAGTCCACTAACCAGCTTTATTGGTTCCTGAAGCTTGATGACCGTTAGAAATTACTTGTTCATGGGCCTGGTATCGATGAAATTATCCCTTCAGTGAACTGAATGAAGGATACTAGAGCGAGTTAGCACGATGACAAGCGGGAACTGTTGTCTTATTACGTAAAATGAAGAACGCCTAAACGACAAGGAAAGTATGAAGCAAAAAGAGACATGTACAAATCCCATGGAGGAAGATCAGCATAACCTGCACCACTTATAGCTGCATGCGGGTATGAACGCATCCCTGTCGCACTCCAAGAAACCCTAGAAATCCTGAATCGATACATGCGTGTGATGTACACCTCTCTCGTTCTCACCGAATTCGATCCGGACCCGGCTGTATTAGCACACGCAATCAGTGAATTCAACAACGTCCGTAGCCTTATCGTGTTTCGCCTTACAAGCTATTTTCTCCAAAACTTAACTTAGAAACAGTGTTCGAATAACTCTGTGTATACAAGGTTGCCAGTCCCCAACTAAAGCAGAACCTCGAGCACACGGATTTCTCGCTCTGTGCTCCGCTCCCGGTGGCTGCCGCTAAGCAACTTCATCACCGTGAATCCGAGCCGATAAATTTTTGTGTGTTGTCGACTTGCTAGTTGTTTTCTTTATTGTTATATCACTGTGCACTATCTGTACGCTTCTACGATGGGATCGCATTCTTCATATTTAAGTTATTTCTCGGCCTTTTACTACCGAGAGTACGTCACGTTTGTCATTGGTCACCCGTTTATTTCTGTACAAATTTGCTTGGTTATCTCTTACTTATTATGGACTCTCAAGTTGCTTGTAGATAGGAAGAGTACGCCTGTGACACTACAGTCACAGAGGGAATTTGGTGTGATAGATGCCTGCTTTGCCATCACCACTGCTCTAGGTTATGGAACAATGGAACAATGGTTTATTACGGGTAAAAAAGCGTTGCTTAACAAGTCCCGTAGGATGGAAATTATTGTGAAAATCAATTGCATGATAAAGTGAAAAGCGTTGTGGTGGACTCACCATAGACTTATGCGGTCAGGATTCCACCGATTTGTACGTTTGTTTTTCAAAAGTGAAGTTGATCTGTTTCCACTGTGCTTCTTTAGCTGACACTACATCGCGTATACTCCGTGCCCTACAAGCCGGTCCACTTGTTGAGAGTGCTGTGGATGGGGAGTATTTGCGGTTTAACGCCGCAGAAAGTTCAATGCAAGTGCAGAGGTCAATCATTGACATTTTAAAGGTGTGAATGGATGAAATGCAGTCATCTTTCTTGCACCATTTGCTTGGCGCTGAAATTGCAATGGGTTGCCAAGGAAATGTGCTAATCTACAAGCACGAGGAGCTGATAATATGTGAAGCTAAAGTTAGACGAGATCTGGTCTCATCTTCACCAGTCCTTACTAGCAGTAGGAAAATTCTCATGTGGTAAGTCTAATAGCCAACATGGACATTGGGTCTCTTCGCAGTCTCTGGAACTTATCGATGCTCACCGACATATTCCGGCTGCTAGCGAACACAATGAAACTCGCAAAGAGCTTCGGGCAAAACTCCGTGCAAGCCTGAAGAGAGACCGCGAATCCTGGTGGTCTCATCGTGCATCAGAGATGGAAATGGTCGCTGCCCTTGGTAACCATCGTAAGTTATTCCGGCTGATACGGGAAACGGGAAGCAGAAGACCTGGTGTTAGTAAAACTATACGTGACGAGAGTGGACAGCCTATCCACAACTTGTCAAAACACTTGGGGCATTAAGCTGCGCATTTGGAAAGGCAATTTAATCGGTCGGAATTGTTAGATTTCTCGTCGGCCACTGATCGCCACCGCTCCCTGGGCTGTCCCTTTGGATCCACCCTCTCGCTCAGTAGTCGAAGGTGAGATTGTACTGTTGAAGTTAAATAAAGCCGCGGAACCGGATGTTCTACCTCCATCCCTCTTTAAATTCGGGGGACCTGCTCTCTTGGATGATTTATACGAGTTACTAGTGAAACTGTAGGAGCAGGAAACTGTCCCAACCGACTGGAGCCGCTCCGTCATAGTCCCAATTTTCAAGGGAGGCACACGATCGGAATGCGGTAACCATAAAGGAATTAGTTTCATCCCAATGGCCTCCAAATTGCTTACCTCTGTTATCCTTCACAGACTGACTACCACTTGTGAAAGCCATATTCGTGAAGAGAAAGCCAGGTTTCATCGAGGTCGTGGCTGCGTTGACCATACCTTAACGTTACGTTAGTTGTTGGAGCACGGTCACACATATTGGCGGCCCACCGTTGTCGTGTTCCGCGATATCAAAGGTGCATTCGACTCGGTGGATAGACGTGCAGTTTGGGACAGTCTACCCAGGAAAGGTGTACCTGAGGAATATAGTTTAATTTTATCCGACCATTATACACGCGTAACTCAGGCAGAATGTAGGCTTACGGCAAGCTGTCGTCGAACTTTACTATCTCCAGCGGTGTGAGACAAGGATGCCCGCGGTCACCTTTCCTTTTCAACTTCGCTATTGACGAAGTCATGGCAATCATGTTTACAGGACACGACTTGGAAGGTGTGGAGCTACTCCCAGGGGAACGACTTCTTGACTTGGAGTATGCAGACGACATTTCCCTAATCTGTGACAGCTCCCAGACGTGCCAAGCCGCGCTGGACAGATTTGCAGTGGCTGTCAGCCGCTTCGGGCTTTGCTTTGCATCATCGAAATGCAAAGCGTTCCTCCAAGCTTGGCACGGATCGCCTCCTTTGCTGACCCTTGGTGGGGATCAGCCAGAAGTCGTTTAGAAATTCAACTATCTGGGAAGTTGTATCAGCGCCCTTGGGATCGAAGACGAGATCACGAACCGTATAGCAAAAGCTCGAGGCGCTTTTGCTAGCCTTCGCCACTTATGGCGCCCGCCCGACATCATTCTCCCCATGAAGGGTAGAGTGTACAATGCAGCGGTACGTTCGACCTCACTGTACGGTTGTGAAACCTGGCCCCTTAAAGCAGCGGACCTGAAGAGGCTCGTTACGTTCGACCGCCAGTGCCTTCGTAATTTAGCTCACATCTGGTGGAAACACCGAGTAAGCCACGAGCGTGTTCGACGCCTTGTTTACCGCAAATGAAAAGGGAATGAACCGCTCAGCATCGTTATTGCATGCACCAAGCTCCGATTGTTCGGCCACGTGTTACGCATGCCAGCCCACCGACTCCCGCGACATGGGTTGTTTGCGCGCCGGGGGTGTGGATGGAAGAAGAGGAGAGGTGGCCAAACGATGACTTGGTCAAGAGGAATGCAGGCCCTCACTTCTGAGCTGGCCTAATTTGGTGCGCTTCTTCTCCCTGGTTGGGGTCCGAAAGACGATGAACACGTTTGGCTGGATACACTTGTTGATATGGCTAGGAGCCGACCTCAGTGGCGATCGTGCTGTGAGTTTCTTTGTCCCACCCCATGCCTCTTAGCCTCCCGTCCAACCACGATCTTATTATTTAGTATTTTATAATTTTGCATAGTCAATTTTTTCTGCTGCATAGTAGCCGGCAGATGGCTTACCGGAACGATGCCCATTTACCGGTAGCTCAGCTGGCTTGCACCTGTAGCATTTTATTCCTTTCTTGTCTTTTAGATATTGCGGCACAGTAGCTGAGGTGTTCCCCACCTCTAGCTAACATGTATAGTGTGTGTGTGTGTGTGTGCGTGTGTGTGTGATAGAAGGCGCGTGCAGACTTTTCTTCGAATTGTTTGGCTACCGCCGCATGTGGGCTTAAAATGATCCAAAGTGTCGGCCGTTGGAAGTATACAAAGGTGCATTGTGGCACTGTCTGTTGAGGAATGGTATTCCCGGGAAGTTCGTTTCCATTCTGCGTGCTCTGTATAGTCTGAACTTGGATAGAGTGAGGGTTTATGGAAAGGTTTCACCTTTCTTTGCTTTCAACGGCGGGGTTCGACAAAGATGCCCTACTCGCCATTCCTGTTCCACTTTGCCATATATATATATATATATATATATATATATATATATATATATATATATATATATATATGTTGGCGGCATCCGGTTTCGGATTTGCCTGCCACGGTGGCAGCCACAGGACGCCTGCGCCTACAGAGGGACCATGGATGGCTTGCGCTGCACCACCCACAGCTCCAACCACATACCCCATATCCAGTGTAAACCCGAAGGAATAAGACCGGGAGGCATGCGGATGGGAACCACGTTTCATCAACGGAGCCGGCCCACACTCCTTCACAGGCAAACACAAGCACGCTGTATTTGGGGAAATCAACCGCACACAAGGCGGTGGCTGGACCGTAGTCCGCTCCACACTGAGTGCATGGAACCGCTCTTTGAGCCTAGCACGGCCACAAGAACCGTGCACCCCGTCCCCTCCAGCAACGACCAACTGTCTCCTGGAGCCAGTATGAACGATGTAGTGGGTAATAGACAGGTAGGCACCTTGTCAACATACACATCAAGCGCAACCATACAGGGACACCAAACAACAGCCATTCACTTTAAACGACAAGCTGAAATAAAATAAATCCAATAATGCATACAGATACGGATGGCATAACTCTTCGCTAAATTACCATATGAAGTAAGTTGGTTAGCAACCAATCCGTGATAAGTAAGAAATGTCCACAAGTTACTTAAAATGCTACAAACGCAACAAAATTACCGAAGATAAGCGCAATTAGTGTAAGCAACGTGGCCAGTTAATAGAACATTATTCAAGGGAGGCAGAACAAACCAAATAAAGCGGAATGAAATTTATCCAGCTTAAAAAGACCTAGTTTAAGTGTAAGTTGGTTTAGCCCAACTGCGGTGAAGAAGCATCAAGAATGCAACATCAGCCTCAGCATGGGGCACTATATATATATATATATATATATATATATATATATATATATATATATATATATATATATATATATATATATATATATATATATATATATATATATATATATATATATATATATATATATATATATATATATATATTTACTATATATATATATATATATATATATATATATGTATATATATATATATATATATAGCAAGGTGCTGCGTCAGAAGGGGTTTGTGGGGCCAATTTTGGTTGAGTTTCAAAATCGGAATTATCGAGCAGGTGTACGACTAAATTGTACGAATGGTTAAGAAATTAAGTGGTATCGGATAACGAGCGTCGGGGAAACTTGCTCAACTTAGTCAAAAATCTGATATCATCACCACCAGTCTATTATGTATGTATGTATGTAATCTCAACGGCGGGAGAGCCTATGGTGCGCTGAGGCTGGTGGTGGCTAGATCCTGACAGATGGTCTACCCACTGCTGCTACTGTTGCGCCATAGTCTCATGTCCTGGGCGCCTCCACGTGGCGACCGCTGGGTGGGAGTTAGGTTTCGCCCTTCTCCCTGCTAAGATCCAGGACACCAACCCGCATGAGTCAGCTAACTGACCATGTGCTAGACCCGCTGCCTTTCGGGTGTTCATTTAATCGAAGGCTTTGGCTGAGGACCCGAGTCGTTCTCCTGTCAGGATTGGGCGCCCTGGCAGTATCCTAGTCCATCCTCTCCGGAGGTTAGGAAGTGGTCGATGGCCCACTTCCCGTAAAATCTAGCCATGGGAGACAACAGGTTACGGGTGATATTCTCAATGCTCGATTGGCGTAGAGCACGAGTGCCACGCATTGTCTCTGACGGTGGGAGGACACCTCCGGGTGTTCAATGGTTTGCTACTGCCCGCCTCAAGCCAGGCAGCCCCTGGTCAAATTGGTGCAAACCCGCCAAAAACC